CCTCTTTTTCTGCCGGGTTTCGATCAACCAGGGGTGTTCTCCTGGTGGTTGGCCAATGGTTTTTCACAAGTGCGACACTTTTTGACTTCTCGGTCCTTCCCCACTTGGAGCTCTCTTCGGGAGTCACAGGATGTTCCTCAGATGGGATTTTTTCATTATCTTCAACTGTGGCACTGGCTGACCTCATTGTGGGGCAATTCCACTTTCCATATCATAAATCTGCCTTTGAACAGCTTTGCCAACAGCGTCTGGGAGCTCTGGGCCTTGTTTCCCTACTTTATGCATCCCTGTATAGGTGCTCAATGCGTACCTCTCTATCATATGTTGCCCAGTGGGAGCGTGACTTGGGGGGGCAGTCGTGGATTTAGAGGACTGGAACAGGGTCTGGTTGTTTATAGCTAAATGTTCATTCAAAACAGCCACGCTGAAGGCAGGATACAAAGTACTGTTTCATTGGTATTGGGTCCCGGCCCAAATAGCCCAGGCGAACCCTGCTTATAGTGATCGCTGCTTTCGGGGTTGTGGCCATCGTGGAGATGTGTTGCATATATGGAGGTCATGGTTTTTGGTTTGTGTATTTTGCCTTCTTTACACATTGTTCCATCTCTCCATATTCTGGGAGGCTCAGTATGCTTTCCTTCATTGTCCCATACCGAGCCTGTTGGCCATCAGCAGAAGTTGGCTTCCTATTTGTTTTTGTCAGCTACTAGAACAATTGTTCAGGCCTGAAAAAGCCCATCTGTCCCTCTTCAAGGGTGCGGGACCGTATGACCTCTCTGATGCTCAATGGACAGATGTTGAGTATCAGTAATGACTCCCAACAGAAATTCTTGAAAATATGGGAGCCGTGGTTGACATATGCTTTTCCCACACTCCCCCCAGATAGTCTGGGTTCATGATGCTGTATGGTATTGGTGTCCCCGGATTCCTGCTTCGAGTCTTGTTTTCTTCTTCCTTCTTTACTCATTTTTCCTCTTTCTTTTCTGTTTGAATCTGTGAGGCAGTAGATACTTGCCTTTGACTGGTATCTTGTTGGAGTTATAACACTGTTTTTGTATTTTATGTGCCTTTAATGGCCCTTATGTGGGCGTGCCTTTTACATTGTTGGTGTTCTCTTTATTTTTTATGTGCCATTGATAGTCCCTGCATGGGCGTTTCTTTTGCTCTAATTTTCCTTTGTTAAATTGTTTAAAAAGTTAATATAAATCATTGAAATACAAAAACTGACCACACTAAGCAGGAGAACTCAACATGGTTAGTTTTCTGGCTGTGCTTGGAACTCAGTCAGCTCTCCTCCAGTGATCAGACTTGACCTGACATGCCCCCATCTATACAGTCATTCACTGGGAAGATCAGTGTGCTGTTGTTTCTTCTCACCTATCTCTCTGAGCTCCTTATGCAGCTGAGAACAGAGGGTATGTGATCACGTATCAAAAAAGGGGGAAAAGGGTATTTATAATGTTTTTATAGCTATACACAAATGTTTTGTCTGTCATTTCTATTTTAAACTGAAAAGGTTGTTTTTTATATACTTTAACCATTGTTATAACAACAACCACCATAATGAAAATTCTATTAATAAATGTGACATTTTATCACAGAGAAAAACAGCCAATAAAAATTCAAGAAATCAACATTTCTTGAATGCTTTCAATGTAAAATTAGAACAGGTGGATTCTTGTACAATTTGAATCCTTAAGCCAGCCAATTAACTTCCCAGTAGGTATTTGGATTGTAGGAGGAAACCCACATAGACACTGGAAAAAAACGCCTATCTGCAAGCGTTATTTTACACAGGAGCCGCTGCGTTTTTGACAGCAGTTCCTGCTATATAATACACAGCAATTCCCAGCTATTATTTTGACAGCTGGTAATTGTCAGCAATATCAATGGAAGAATGGCAGTAGAGGGAGAGGAGCTGAACATAAGAGAGGTGCTTTAGAAACTTTGTTGAGGTTTTTTTAGGGAATATCTACTACGTTCAAAATCCTCAAGCAATAACGATGTATGAATATTGTAGAGAAGGGTTGGAACTGCTGTCAGATTTTTTTGTATGCTGTGTTTGTCCTCACTGCTGGTAAGGTTCACCCTTGTCACTTGTCCTTACAATCATTGTTACTGAGATGAAAAATTTCTGAAAGAGCACAATTTGGACACTGGAACAGGAGTTGAGGAGAAACCATCCACTGGGAACACGTTATGGTGACAACTAGCAAGACAAATTTTTCCTCACTTTGAAGAGACTTCCCCTTACTTGTTGGTGTGTTCCTGGGACAAGAAGTGAGAGGGAAACCTCTGTAAAAACACAGCCAAAAATATTCCCTATGCTATCCAAAACTAAAAAAGTAACCCTCTCACCACATTAAACAAATGCAAGTAAAAACACCAAATACTTGCAGCGTTTCCATTTCTATAAATTTTCTAGAAAATGTGACTATTCCAGGAAGAGTCAGTTCTCTAGTACAGCCCTTGAATGTCATAGTCCTTTTCTCAGAGTGTCTAATAACTCTCTGTGCTGGCCCAGCTCCTCTGTCCACACCTCCCTTATAACCTTTGTAGCTTCTGGGGGAGGAGCAAAGGGAAAAATAATAGTGTTGCTTGTGTAACAACTCTGAGTTTGTTGGGGCTGCTGACATCATATTCAAGATGGTGGTTTCCAACAGCAGGTTCAAGTCTTTTGGATGTCTACATACGGGAGACTTTTAAAGTTAATTAGTATTTATTTATTACAGGTACTTATATAGCGCCGTCAATTTATGCAGAGCTTTACATATATATTGTACATTCACATCAGTCCCTAACCCTCAAGGGGCGTACAATCTAAAGTCCCTAACTCACATTTATACATATACATACTAGGGACAATTTAGACAGGAGCCAATTCACCTACCAGCATGTCTTTGGAGTGTGCATAAAATATGTTAAATACACTTATGAATGTATAGGAAGATTTTTCTGAGATTAATGGTTAAGTGATAAAATATCCTTAAGGATAAATATCAAATGGGATTACTCCACTTGTGCTCCAGTCTTTAGCATCTTTGGGCTTTATGGATATGATCATGGACTCACTCTTAGTTTTGCAGTGTTAAAATATCAAGCCATTTGCTGTGCAATATCTTTACACTAAATTACTTTGTTGTTGCTGAATTCATGAACCCGTGTTTTTCAATGTATTTTCCAGGGAAAGCTGGTGTATGCAAACCAAGGTAGATTAAGTGATTTTGAATATCTCAACAAATCAATCAATCTAAATGGGGCCATTGCTATTGTGCGCTATGGAGGAGTTGGCAGGTCTGCTAAGGTACATCTGTGTTAAATTATTGTGAGTTGTGACTGTTTGCAGATCTAAAAGTATAGTAAGCTATTAAAGAGTAATTGTAAAACAAAACTGAGAAAATGCAGAGCCTATCATTTATAATTTATTCTTACGAAAATGCTAGTTGTCTGACCATCATGATGAACCAAAGGCTTGAATTCTTTTTGAGTGTTTACATGGACATTACATGCATGCAATAGATTATCATGGCATCCAGAGATAACCAATTGACAAGACCTGTGCCCAGTGCCCTTTCCAATTATTATTCAAATAACCTCTTTAGAGGTGTTAAAAAAAAAAGCACAACAAGCAGGCCTTTACAATTTACTTCAAAGTTGTAAAATGGAATGCTCACTGTCACTTTGAAATTTCCTTCATCAGTTGTTTTACATGACTAAATTACAGAAATACTTAACTCTTTGGTTTCCACAATTAGGAAAGTTTCACGGTCACAGAAAGTCAGGCAACTATATTTTTAAGAAAGAGATCATTTTTCACTGAGTAAAAATATCTTTAAAAGACCTACTTTTGACAAATGTTTACCTTTTTTTTACCGATCTAATTTTGTAGAATTTATTCCCGAACACATATATGCATTTATTCCTGAATGCATTGGGTAGCTTAGTTTACATAATGACTGAAAAAACACTTTTCCTTTTCTTATTTTATTCTGAATATAAATGTACACCTAACATGATTTTGGATAGTTTATAGTTTTTATAGTACTATATAAATATATAAATTCATGCCAGGGGCCTGATTTACTCACATTTAACTTTATTAAATGAGGCCCTGAGTATCTAATTGCCAGAAACACATCTGTCATGTACAGTGCTATTGCCTATAGGAAAAACTGGATGCTGTCTAACTCATCTAATCAGCTTCCAACTGGCATTTCTGTAGTCCAGGTTTCAAAATGTGAAATGGATTTCTACAAGTAACAAGAAATCTTCCTATTAGCACAATTTCCATACATTGTCTTCTTTCCAGAAACAGGCCTCTGTGAATTTTTACATACTTGTGTACCTACTCAATGTTGCTGCCAACAGTGGTCATTATACACAATTTGTCAAACACTGTGTTTAACCACTTCAAGTCTGGACACTTTTGCCCCCTTCCTGTCCAGGCCAATTTTCAGCTTTCAGTGCTATCACTCTTTGAATGACAATTGCACAGTCATGCAACACTGTACCCATATGGTTTTTTTTAGCATTTTTGAGACAGATAAAGCTTTATTTTGATGGTATTTATTCACCACTGGCATTTTTTTTTTTTTTTTCTATGTAAATGAAAATGTCCAAAACATTTTTAAAAAAGTGTTTTTCTTATAAAAGTTTGCAAATAAATAATATTCCATCATAAATCTTGGCCAAAATGTATTCTTTTATCTTTTTAGTAGAAAGAAATAACCCAAATTAGTTTATAACCAAAAATTATAATTTTTTAAACATTTTTTTTATATTATTTTATGGTTTTTTTTTTTTTACATACTGTCACCCTAGCAGTACAGTGTCACCATGGTGACCCTGTACTACTTGTGGGGGGTGATGAAGATTTTTTTATTTTTATTTACACTAATTGCTTTTACACCCATAAAGGCTGTAAAAGCAATCATTTCTCCTTCTCTCTGGCTGTATTCTTGCAGCCATTGAGAACTACTGTGTGAGCTGTGATTGGTCACAGCTTGTAACATGGTACAAGGCTGTTGTGAATAGCCTTGTAGCCTTGTACCATGTGACCTCTGTGATCATTCACAGATTTCACATGTAGTAAGCAATGATGTCAGAAGTGACATCTTGCTTACTACTCTGCATGTGATCACTGATTGGCCAATCAGTGGTCACATGATCGGGACCTCACAGAGAGGTCCCGTACGACGATCGGTGTTCTCCCAGGGAACGCGCACAAGCAGGGGGCGGGAGACCATTTATAAACGGCCACCTGACCCTGCACTGTCCGGCTGTTTATATACAACGGCCGGATGGGAGGTGGTTAAACTGAGGCTACATTAAAGTTTCCCAAACCAGTTACATTCAAGGTATGCCGTGAATGATAACTGTCACAGTTGCTTGTGCTCTCAACCAAATTGTCAAATGGCTGGTGTCATAACTGACCACAGATACAGGATACATCAAAACAATGTGATGTAAGAATGCCATTGAAACCAGCCCACATCTTGGTACTAGAGACAAAGAGGAAGGGGTATTGGTTGTAACAAGACCACAACTTAAACCAAATTTCATGGTGTTTACATTTATAAATGTAACCCATAGTCAGTCCTTAATCTTATGAAACTAATCTCTCAACCACTGCCATAAATCTGCCAGGGAAGCAAATTTGTGTCTAGGATAGTTATTGAGCCTCTGAGATTAGATCTATTTTTATTACCCTTGTTGTTGGCATGGGGGAATTGCATGTACTGTTACATCTGTATTACTACTCATGAGGGTTAGTGCGACCTTATGACCAGAAAGTTTTTTTTTTCAGGTCCCCCCACACAGAAGGATCATGTCATATCACCTGTCTGTGACCCCTGTCCCGCCACTGATTACAGAGTTATTTTGAGGGAATAGCACTGGCAAAGAGTGAAGCCACCACACTTAATTTGCAAGGGCCTGCATACATGTCATTTCAGGCCCAGTCCCTAGGAGGGTTCTGTTCTGAAGTGAGCCCTAAATCAGGGACCCTTCTGCTCAGTAGGGATAACCAAGTGCCAGGCCTCCCCCACTTATGGTACCTCCATCACCGGCCACCAATGCTTCATCTCCCGAGCTTTTTGATCCTCCTTCTTGACACTCCTCACCCCATAACTTTAAGGGCTAACCATATTACACACTTTGTTCCATAACCTCAAGGGTTAACTTAATTTGTTACTCTTCGTTCCTCAATACACTGTAAGCACACACTCTCTTCTTAGATAATTTATACCAGATGAATCACTTAGCTATTTATTTTGTTTACTGAATAAAAGTTAGGTTTGCAGTTCTTTGGCAATTCCATGACACTACATCCAGCATAGCATCCAGATAGATCTTTACCTGCTCATTACCCTCATTGACATGTTATTCCTTACAACCACCTTAAGTCCATTCCCACAAAGTGTCAACAATAGCCAAACTCCCAGAATCCATTGCGGAGTCACGCTAAAGGGTTGCTCCTTAGCTACGGCATCAGTCACCTCAGAAGCTGAAAGTGACTTTTGCAGGGGAAGGTACATCACAGCACTAATGTTTAACCCCTACAGCACCAACCATTAATCCTTTTTTGTCAGTACATAAATTTACCTTAGTAGGCACCTGCCTACAGCCTAGATTTCATGTGTAGGTAAACGATAACAATAAATATGTCTTATTTGCTCCCTTTTGGTTTGTTAAAGTAGAACTATAGGCAAAACCTTTTTTTCATTTTGAATAGAGTATAGGAGGGTTATAACCCCTGTCAAATTTTTTCTCGCTATCTGTGTCTTATTGTGGAGATTTCACTTTACTTCCTGTCTCATAGCCAAACTGGAAGTGAGAGGAAAGCCTTGCAAATTTAAGGAATTCCTTGGAACCCCCAGATCACCAGAGCTAATGTTCCCGTTGAAAGATTTGGGATTTGTTTTACTTTCACTTCCAATGATAATAGTAAAAAGACAACAATAAAAACTGAAATAAAAAACAATAAAAAGTGTTCTAATACCTCCCCACTCTATCCAAAACTAAAAAAAAAAGTTTTTCCTTCAGTTATACTGTATCTGTTCAACAAGTGCGAGAAAAAAAAAAGCTGTTCATCTATCCAGAAATTGTGTGAGTTGATAACTTGCCATACTCTCAGCCTCTGGACTGTTATTAGTTGGCATTGTTCTCTGCTATTTCTGTAGACAAAAAAACACCTCCATTTTTATAGAAATGAGAGGGAAGTGTTATGTAGTCCTAAAATACTTCTTGTCTTAGGGTGGCAATGCTGCTCGATATGGTTGTCACCCTAGAACAGTAAAGGCAAATCTTTTAGAGACCGAGTGCCCACACTGCAACCCAAAACCCACTTATTTATCGCAAAGTGCCAACACTGCAATTAATCAGAGCTTCCACTGACCACCAGCACAATGGGGCAAAGTTCCATTGACCACCAGCACAAGGGGGCAAAGTTCCACTGACCACCAGCACAAGGGGGCAAAGTTCCACTGACCACCAGCACAAGAGGGCAAAGTTCCAATGACCACCAGCGCAAGGGGGCAAAGTTCCACTGACCACTGGCACAAAGGGGCAAATGTTCCACTGACCACCAGCACAAGAGGGCAAAGTTCCACTGACCACCAGCACAAGGGGCAAAGTTCCACTGACCACCAGCACAAGGGGGCAAAGTTCCAATGACCACCAGCACAAGGGGGCAAATTTCCAATGACCACCAGCACAAAGGGGCAAAAGTTCCACTGACCACCAGCACAAGAGGGCAAAGTTCCACCGACCACCAGCACAAGGGGGCAAAGTTCCACTGACCACTGGCACAAAGGGGCAAAGTTCCACTAACCACCAGCACAAGGGGGCAAGGTTCCACTGACCACCAGCACAAGCTAAAATCATGTGTTAATAAAAATGAATGTATTAAACCTCACAGCCAGTCCAATATATATATATATCCTTGGCAGAGCACTGACTGGCCATGCGAAAGCTCGGATGAGTCACTGCTAAAAAAGTTGTGACTCGTGACGTCATCGCCTGGTGCCACTATCCGATGCTCGGCTGCTGGGGTGACTTGGCTCGCGTGCCGACAGAGAGGACCCTGTGTGCACGCTGCGGCATCTGTGCCATAGTTTCACCACCACTGCCCTAGAACAAGATGTCAGTTATTGGGAGCAGCACCAGCTTAAAATAAAAGAAAAAGTGTGAAAAAATAATGATTTAGTTGGAATGCTTAAAAATGGTATTATTGGATAAAAAATCACTTTCTTAACAAATAGATTTCTAAACATTTTTGTCTATAATTTCTGGTGTCCCTGTGTTTCCTAGGCAATAAATGCTGCTAAATTCGGAGTAGTTGGTGTCATTGTATATACAGATCCTAAAGATATCAATGATGGCTTTGCTGACAAATCTAAAACATACCCATACTCCTGGTACATGCCCCCATCTGGTGTAGAGCGGGGGTCCTACACTGGAGACTTTGGAGATCTGCTTACTCCATATTATCCAGCTAAAAGTAAGTATTTTCAGGTTATTATTTAGTCTAGTATTATCTGTCTTTTCTTGCTGATACGCCCACCAATATTCTTCCAGTTTACAGCTAAACACACAGTTGCAATACATATAGTAAAGACAGAACTGTTTCACTTACCAAAGGATTTGTACTTTTCTTCAGCCATGCTTGTGATTTTTGTGTCCTTCTTGCAGGTTTTCCCTCACTTCCTCTCTAGTGAACGTTTATCCCCAAAACACAAAGTGAGGTGAATCTCTCTAACGGAACCCCAGATAGCAGTAAAACCTGACAGGGGTTCTAATCTTTTCACATTTTATCAAAAAATAAAAATAAAAGTTTTGGGTATACTATGAATACACATAAATGCTAGCTGTGATTTTTTTAATCAAATTATTAACCAATTAAAATGTTGTTTTATATCTGCCTGAAATATACCTTAAACCAAGTACAGTCAAAACTGAAATTACATGCAACAGCACAGCCTACCTGCAAAGTACTTTAGTTTCTCATCCAGGCAATGATGTAGTGCATTGGTTCATGTCAGTTCCTTCATTGGTAATATATTGGCCTGAAAACCCCAGATTATGATGTGGGAGAGGAAATCCCAAACATACCCACATCAGATCTTTGCAGTCTCACACACAGGGCCGGATCTAGCTTGTCTTATATGGGGGTGCAGTAAAAAATGTCAGGGGGCAGAGGATAGGAGGTCAGCAGGCAGCATACAAAAACAGAATCACATAGCGGAGTGTTCTGGGGGTCAGCAGGGCAGAGGACAGGGTCTAGCAAACCAAAGGGCAGGGATCAGAAGTTGTAGGGCAGTGTACAGGGGGTCAGCAGAATGGAGGACAGGGGTCAGTATGGTAGTGTATTTGCAGCAGTCAGCAGTTTGTAGGCCAGTGTGTACAGGGGGGCAGTAGGGCAGAGGATGGTCAGTCAGCAGAGCAGAGGATAGGGGTCAGTATGGTAGTGTATTGCAGCAGTCAGCAGCTTGTAGGCTGGTGTACAGGGGGTCAGCAGGGCAGAGGATGGTCAGTCAGGAGAGGAGGGACAGGGGTCAGTATGGTAGTGTATTGCAGGAGTCAGCAGTTTGTAGGCCAGTGTAGAAGGGGTCAGCAGGGCAGAGGATGGTTAGTCAGAAGGGGAGTGGACAGAGGTCAGTATTAGAGATGAGCGAATCGAACTTGGCGAAGTGGAATTCGTTTCGAATATTAGAAAAAATTCGATTCGCGCCGAATCCGAAAATTAAGCAGACTTCGGATGCGCGAATCGAACTTTTTCCAAAATGGCGGCGACATGTGTGGCGACGGAGCGGGGATCTCTGGGAAGGCGCGCAGACAAGGCGCGCTGACCCATAATGCATTCATTCATGACATGTGATCGCATTAGCCAATCAGCAGCCAGCCAGCCAGCACTGTGTAATGGTGGAGCTATAAATTGCGGCCATCTTACAATTCTCCATTTGCCTCTCCGGTCATTCAAGAGAGACAGACCTCTCTGTATTAGGGACAGAGTTAGGGCCACAGAT